CGTTACTACTTCTTCGAGGTTAGACTAGATGTTTACTAGGTACATGTTGTTTATGTAATTACGCTACACTTCTGCACTAATCGTGCAGGATATGAGACAGATGCATCTGGCAGTCATTCAGGCACGCACCCCCGTTACCCCGAGGACATAGTGGTAAGCTGCTCTCTGTGTCCGTTCTGCATCACCCGCATACTCTCTTTTGTAGTTAATTTTATTCCAGACAATAGCATAGATAATTGTATATTTTACTAGTTGCTCATACATGTGTGATACCGAATTTTGGGAGTATTCTATTAGTCACTTTATAATTTTGGGTATCAATTTCATTGTATTTACTCTTTCATTAGTTTATGCTTTACCTTACCATAATTGTCCACTTCTCATTTACTTAATAAATAAAAAATCAACTACTTTGAAATTATTAAAAAGAATAAATGCATGACTAGTTCACTCTCGCCTTTGCCTAGCTGCGACGTTGGACGCCATCACGGTCTATAGGAAAAATTGGATCGTGACACCAATCACTACAGTACTTGTGTTGTTTACTATTTCTGATGCTTGTGTAATTTCCAGACTTATTTTTCCAACAGTTTTCTTGTACATGTTTAACCCCACATGTGTTAATTTGTTCACATTTTCAGTCCTAAGCCTGAATAAAAGAGTAGGGATATGGTAGGTTGGCGGTCAACGTAAAACTAATAATTTTATGAACAATCATCACAATACCAACTATATCACTGGGACGAGCTCAGCTAGGTACGCGTCACATTAACCTTATTCAACCCAGCTTGAGTTTGAAAATGAAACGTAATTATTGTTGTTGTTGTTTTCTTTACATGTTTCTAATACGAGTTGGAATTACCCTACCTGCCTAGGTATCCTCCTCACATGAACACAAAGTTATCACTAGCTGAAGCACTGCATCCTGATGGTTGGTAAGGTTTAATTATTTTAATATGAACTTACAGTTATAGTGGGTAAGGTCTAACAACATTATTGTTATAGTAGGTAAAGTTTAATTAATTTTTTCATATATATGACAACAAATAGTGTGTATCTTGTGTTTTATAGTGGATAAAGTCCACTGATCATTCGAAATTAACACCTTAGATAATGGTATTTGTCAACAAGCTGTTATAATTTGATATATGAATATTACACAAAGATTTAATATAATGTATAATATTAAGAGTTATGAAAATTATAAAGAGTTAAAAGAATATCACGTGTATTGGAATACATCCAAAAATGAGGGGAAAATAGTCATAATATTGGAAGAGCGTATTATTAACCGAAGAAGAAGGAGATCAAGTGATCAAAATAATTAGGGTCTTAGGGTGTGTTTGGTACGAAGGAAAATATTTTCCGAAAAATATTTTTCAATTTTTTCATGTTTGGTTGGCTTAAATATTTTGAAAAACATTTTCCTTCAATTGGAGGAAAATGTTTTCCTTATCAAGAGAAGGAAAAATATTTTCTAAAACTCTTTCTCAACCTTCCCACCCTATTCCTCCCTCACCATTCCACCCCATACCCTCACACCCANGAAAATAAAATAAAGTAAATATACAATACTTAAAAATATTATTAAATTTTAAATAATTTAAAATTTTCGAGCAATAATTTTAAAACAAAATAAATATTTATTTTATAATTAAAAAATTATATATTTATCTTATATTATTAAAGAAAAGTAGTTGAGAATGATATTCAATAAAGTTACGAGTTAATGAAAAGCCACATAAAACATAATAAGACTATATATTAGATTAAAAAATAGGAAAATTATGTTAACTTATTAGAAATTTACTATTAGAAATGAAAAGAAAAAAACTATTTGAATTTGAGATTAGAAAGTTCTTAAAACTATGATGCGAATGCTCAAATTATGAATAATACCACGAAATTGAAGTCTTATTTATAAAAAATAAAACAATAATAAAATAACATTTTAAATTATAAAATAAATTTCTAATATAGGTAATTTTATAAAAATTAAATTTGTATCTTAAAATAAAAAAGAAAAAAAATTATGTAAAGAAGTAAAATGACAATGAAAATATTATTACAACATTTAGATATAATATGTTCAAACAATTAAGAAAATATTTTTCTGTGATTAATATCNGTTATAGGTTCGAAATTTTACAAGTTCCAAAGTTATGAGTTCGGAGATTTATGTATTTGTAAGTTTACGGATTTAGAAATTATAAAGTTCGCGGTTTCGAAAGTTTAGCGGTTCGGAAGTTTATGAAATTTGTGGGTTCCGAAGGTTGTTGGTTCGAAAGTTTATGACTTCATGTTTATTGTATCTAAATTATATATGAATACTCTTGAGAAGTTATTTTTCTTAATTTGCGTACCAAACACCGAAAAATAAATAAAATTATTACTTGTTTCCACAGAAACCTCTTTGACAAGAGAAAATAAAAAATCTTGTCAGGCTATATAACAAGGAGAAGAAAAAAAGTTTTGGTTGATTCGACGGGATTTGGTAGGTTTTAAGTTATACAAACTAAAACTATATGGGTGTTTTACCGTATTAATGTAGTTTTAACTTATGATAATAGATTAATTACTATTTTTATTAGTTTATNAAAAAATATTACATAAAGGATTAAAATGATAGTAAAAATATTATTATAATATTTAGGAATAATGTGATAAAAAATTAAGAATGTTTTTTTCCTATGAATAAATAAACTTTTAAAAATACAAAATAAATTTCTAATATTGGTAACCTTANCAATTCATATACATATTATGTTGCTCATTTCATAGGGTAATTTTTCTCTTATTCCTTACTGTCATGATTAAGCAATGAGTAACTTCGATATCTATCATCTATATTATATTAAAAGGAGAATAGTATGCATTGTGGTTAAGCCAAGTGGCAAGCTAAAATGAAGCCACTTGGCAATTTTAAGACAACATTAATAATTAGAAATTATATATAGAAACATAATTAATGGAGGTATTTTAATGAATCTTATACATAATCTAAATAGATCTAGACAAATCTAATATATATATATATATATATATATATNTGAGATGAATTTTTTTTAAAAAAAATATTACATAAAGAATTAAAATAATAGTAAAAATATTATTACAATATTTAGAAATAATGTGTTCATAAAATTAAGAAAGTTTTTTTCTATGATTAAATAAATTTTTAAAAATACAAAATAAATTTCTAATATTGGTAATCTTAATAATGAAAATTAAAATTAAATTTTATCTTATAGCTAAAAATAAAGAAAATTTAACTGCATCTAATACAAAGTTAATTATAAGAGAACTCAATACATTTGGAATATGATAATCAAATACCTTATGTATTAATATTTTAGACTAATTAAAAGTTACAATTTAAAACAAAATATGACATTATTTTGGTTATAGGTAAAATATTAATATAAAACTAATTAACATTTATAGTAGGGAAGAGAATGTATATTAAAAAGAAAATAGAAGTAGTGTGAGGATACTTATACTTTAAATTAATTTTAATATATATAAAATCAATTAATTAAATTATATTTAAAAATATTATTGGCAAATTTAAATGATTAAAAAATTATGAATAAGAGGATAAAAGAATTAAAATATATCAAATTTCGAGAATAAAACATTTATTTTTATCATAAACTATTAAAAGGATAATAAGCAAGACATTAATTTAATCATAAGCTAACAAAAAATTATATGATATTATGATAATATGAAATATTAAATAATATAACTATAAGAAAAGAACAAAAAAAAAAGAATTTATGTAAAAATGATGTGATGAATAAGACATATTTGATTTCGTGATAAAAATAAAGTGATTGTAAGAATTTTGTTAAAATAATATGATCTAATGTGCTCGAACAAGACAGATCACAATATGACATGTTTAGTATTCTTTAATATCGACAAAGGAACGAAATGTAAGTACTTAAATCAAGGGGTTAGGTTGCTACAAATATATGTTAAAATGATTGGTTGTCTACTACGAGATTTGATCAATAATTTCATATCCTGGTTCATAATTAAATTCTCATGTTATATAATTTTTATATGATATATATATATATATATATATATATATTTGTACATGATTCAAACAACATACATCGCAATTTGAAATGATTTGTCCGTGCATCGCGCGGGTACTAATACTAGTTAAGTATAATATCAGAAAAAATTCATACATTTGAATAGTTCAGGTCCATTTTTAAGTAAAAGCATCTTTGTACATGCTTTTTCTATGAAATAAACTCATTTTTCACAATTAAATAGAATATTAATAATTTCACACATTTGAATAACTCAAATACATTTTGAAGTGAAAAAATAAGTTGATCCACTTGGGGCTGCCACACCTATGGTAACACACACACACGTTCTCTCTCTCTCGCCACTAATAAGTTTAAACCCAAGACTTTTCTATTTATGAGTTTTTTAGTCCTAATCAAAGAATTTGCCCAGACCGTTTAATTATTACTCCCTCCGTTCACTTTTACTTGGCATGTATACTAAAAATATATTTTTATTTTTACTTATCACTTTACACATATCAAGAGAACATAAAAAAATTCCTGTTATACCCACAATATTTATTACTCATTTCAAATCATTTTCTCAAATCCAATAAAATATACATCAATTAATATGAGTATCATGGTAAATTATGCACATCATTTATTATTTCTAAAAGGCGTGAAAATTAAAAACATGCCAAGTAAAAGCGAATGGAGGGAGTAATAAACATGATAAGTGAAATTTGTTATCCTAAATTTAATTTGATGAATAGCTGCTAACATATTCTTTTAAAATTAGCAGTTCATGACATTTTGCTTCTAAGATAGTATGTCTTGTTTCAGAACGAAACACCATTACCGTTTTGGTTTAATTTGTTCTCTAATTTAGTTTTTTTCTTTTATCACGATCACAAGTTTGATGGATAGAATATAACTTTAAAGAGTAATAACAAAATTACCGAACTGCACTAACAGAAATCGGAAAATAAAAAACCAAACCATACCGAACTTAAAACCGTACCACACCAACCGATAGAACGCCCCTAATTCAACATAAATATGCAGTCGTAATAAGAAACAAACCCATCACTTAAATCTTAGTACAACATATATCGGATGGTGTAGAGAGTCATGGATGCCAAATCCTGACCAAAAGACATTCTTCTACTATTCTTCTGCAGCAGGTTGGGTCAGTCCAGACCGCACCAACATTGCATTCAGAGTTTCAGGTGAGCATGCTTGATACTTGACTTTCCCATTAGAGAGAAATACCTCAGCAAGTTCAAGTTTCTCTGAAGTGAGACTAGTGCTGTCCATCGTCTTACTAAGCACTTTAAGCGCGAGTTGAACGGCCTCTTCCCTCGTGATATCATCCTTGTAATCCTGCTTAAGTATTGACTGAGCAGCCTGGTTGTTTGCTCCAATTGCTGCAGCTTTCCAACCACCATAATTTCCACTTGGGTCGCTCATGTAGAGTTGGAAGCCGTAATTTTTATCCCAACCTGCAAAGAGAAATGAAACACCAAAAGGGCGAAGTCCACCAAACTGTGTGTAACCTTGCTTGGTGTCACAGAGTGACTGAACAAGTTGTTCAACTGGCATGGGTTCTTGATAAGCGAACGTATAGCGCTGAGCCTGGACCCTGGCCGTGTTGATCAGTATGTTGGCATCAGACATGATTCCAGCTACGGCACACGCCACATGATCATCAATCTTGTACATCTTCTCACTTGATGTTGAGGTCTGAAGCAGCTTAGATGTTACTTTCTTTTCACCTACCAGAACCACCCCATCCTTGGACAAGATGCCTATAGCACTACCTGCATTTCCAATAGCCTCCATTGCATACTCAACCTGATAGAGACGACCTTCAGGGGAGAAGATTGTTGTACGGCTGTCATACCTTCGTGACATTGTTTCTCAACTGCAGTACACCTGATTATTTTTTATCATTCAGGGAGTTTGTTACATAAAAATTTCAAAGCATGTGAAACTTTGTTTATTCTATTGTACCCTTACCATGAATAAGTCCAAACAGCAAGTATGCAAGCAAAGATAGAAGAAAAAAGGATGTAAAAATTGAGTGAGAACAATATAAGATGCAAATGAATTGAAGCTGAAAATTGCCATGACCTACAACCTCAGGGAATTTCCTTCTGTAAGGGCAAACTTTGGACTTTTGAAGCATGTGTACGGCTAAATTTAAATTTTTGAATTCTAGAATCAGTGACACTCTTCATATTTTCTTGAGGTTAGCTCGAATTCTGAAAGCCAAGGTTCAGTTAGTTGTTAACCAAGTAATAGTGGTCAATCAAGGCAGAGTGGAAGGAAGTTGTAACGGAAGACCTGCAATCTCTTGAAATCCACTTAGCGGAAATAAAGCACAATGGAAGAAAAAGATCTATATACCTATTAGTACGCTTACTTTAGGTCCAATGTTTGCTAGGAGTCTTTTAGTCCTATTAAAGCTTTACATGCCAGTAAATAACATATAAGAACTTCTAGCGCTAGAGAAACTATTTCTTTATGATATTGGAAATAGACGGGCTTAAATGGAGCAATGTAGACAATGAGGATTCATATTGACCCCAACTTGGTTGGGATTGAGTATTTTCCGTTGTTGTAAGTCATAGCTGTAAAATAGAACTGTTCTGCTTGTTACATAAAACAGGTATATGCAAATAACTCTTTGTGCCAATATTATTTGATTATGCATAGTCCAGCAATTTACTCACTCTCCCACCTAAGTACTATACATTGATTTGCAAGCCATCTCAATTAATGGAATGTATTATCCACTCTACCTGGCTGAGGGAAGTCCTCAGTAAAAATTAATATAAGAAGAATTTGGTGAGCGACTTGACAAAAGGGCAAGCCTCAAGTATAAACAGCGCCAAGAGTCTATGCTACATTGCCAGTAATTGCAAACGAATTCTCTTTCTCAATCAGTTCCTATACCTAAAAAATAAAAGCCATTCTGATCTCATGACAGTCTACTGCACACACACTTCAGATATGGGTAAAAACTTCAGATAGCAGAGACGCTTTATTCTACACGAGACGATAAAAGTATCAAGGATATGGGCTGAATGCCATTAGCTCAAGGTTATTGACACTATGTCTATAAAGAGAAGAGAAAAAAAAGTTGTCCTAACATTTTCCTTTCCTCTATCGAATGAATCACTTTCTACTACATTATATTTCACTGTGTTAACCCTTCTCGGGGCATCTCGAAACAAACTAAAAGTAAGGTTAGCAATGTCCAAGAAAACAACCAGAAAGGTGGCAGAGGAAATCTTAACAGAGAAAAGCTTGAATTATATTAGATAAGGAGCAACAACAAGGATGACCAAAAGAGAGGTACATGTATAAAAACTTATTAGTTATGGCACTGTTCTCTTTTCTTCTAATTTTCTCCACACTTGAGGTTGGCCAATTTATATCGTCTGCTATAGATTTACCAAATGACAAGTCTGTTCTTTTCTTTTATTTTGATGGGCCTCAAATGTCTATTAAATCAACACAGCTGGTTTACCACTTCCAATTCCATAACAATGGGAACTAAAGAGTAAAGACACAATGGGGAGCAAATAGAGCTAATGCTACAGATTAAGTAATGATGATTAGGAGGATTATCTTCTTGATCAAGTCCAACACTTTGAGGTCCAACAAGGCAAGAATCCTTCTGAATATCCAGTCAAGTATGTGGAAATGGAAAAGGAGAGAGGATCCTTAGCAAGGGAGGAGTGTGGGTAACAATCTCACAATGCAAACTGTAGGTGAGAGAGACTATTCAAGTCGGGGCCAAAAGCCAAAAGGCAATAGGCCTAGGGACATTATGGAATTTATGGTACTTCTTAGCATTTGGACCCAAAAAGGAGAAAGGAATGAGCATGTGCACTACTGCTTATGAAGTTCCAGAGGAATTGTGAAAAACTTGGAGGGAAAATTATTTGTGGAGAAGAGCTCTACTTCAAGTGACGGCAGGCTCACGAAGATTGTAGATTCTGGAAGCACCTTCGCCTGTAGGCCATAGCGAAGTAGAAAAACCACATCATCGTGGGTCTTATTGACGGAGATAAGATGTGGCTAGAGTTGCCTACTAGAATAAGATGGCTACAATTGCCAGGCTAGAGGCTAGTATCACCAGTATCTGCTTCATTTCTTGCAACCAAAAGATCTTAAGAATTGATCAATTTTCTACTAATCGGATGTAAATACATTTCGGACTTAGTAAAGGGGCGTCCAGAATATTTTTCAAGACAAGAGCTTAATGTGATCCAAGGTTTATCATATCCAAGATGTCAATTCCAATAAAATCCTAATGTTTAGGCAGGGGACTCTATAGTAAAGCACCCTTACTGGATACAACACCTAGAGCATTACAAAAAAGAAGAGATATCGAGAGGAACTAGAAAAATGGGAATTAACTAAGCCAAGTGGGTATCTCATCTAAACTCAGCAACAAGTGTTGCAATTTTGCAACTTTGATTTGACATAACTTTAACTGATCAGGCACTATTGTTTACTACAAGAGGGAACAATCACTGTGGACAATCACTAACTACATATCTCTCCTTTTCAACACTTGAAGCTTCAACATGAGGTCGATAAACATAGTTCAATACATTATAACCTAACTCCACACTCAGAGCCATCCTAGAGAAGACAGGCTTCATGGACATTTCACATGAAGAAGTCTTTCTAAATTGGCTCTGTCAATCAAATCCCTCATACGGCTCATGTAGTGCTAAGTGATTGATCTTTTAGATTATGTGCCAGAGACCATGGCAATATACCTAAATCAGGTAATACAGCCCTTTGAATTTTCTTAGACATCCCTAGTCATATTTTGAGACTTCTACTTCATAATATCCACCTAACTTCCCTACCAAGTAATTCCCAAAAGCTAAATTGCTTCCATTGTACATCTTAACGAATTTTGACTCTTTTTTCTCTAATTAAATCAATTCTTTACAACAAGAGCTGCTCGAAAGATGTACTTATTACACTATTAGTAAGAAATTTAACCTTAATTTGAAATATTTTTATCCTAAAAAGTAAAATAAAGGAGAAAGAGAAGAATGCTAGGAATAAACTAAACTTACTACTATCAAGTACACTCTTTCCCAGGTAAACCCTCCTACCATATATTTTGTAAAAACATAAATCCAGAAGTTCAACTAATTTACTTATCCGTAGAATAACACAAAGACATCATCGATTTCATGTAAAAAGTCTATAACATAGCTTTACCAAAATTACCAAGAAATTTGGGGGAAATAATTCAACAATGGAGTAATTTCTCGATTAAATGCATAAAATTCACGGTAAAATAAACAACCATGTCGCAATTTGCTCAAGTGGGTAACGAAAGGAAAAGAAAGAGTGATACCTGAGACGTGAGATCTAAGAGAAGGGCAATGAACGAGTCGAGCTTATTCTTGTTTCTGTAGACTTTAGTACTAAGCTAGTCTTTTTGCGCAAGCTTTTAAAACGGGTCGGATCGGGTTTTGATGAGTCATCAAAAGGGCATTTGCATCTATACCCGCTTTTTGTGTCACGTTTTAACTTGTGTCCGCTTTGTAAAAAAAAATTGCAAGCATACCCGCTTTTTCGCATAACTTCAGCATACGAGGCTGAAGTAGCAAAGACAATCACGCAAAACTTCAGCATTCTAATAGTCGGGCCTGAAGTTCAGCTCTAGAGTGAAGTTTTTATTTTGTAACTGGCGAAGTTTTTGTTTTGTAACTAGGGAACTTAAGCTCTAGAGCTGAAGTTTTTGTTTTGTAACTGTGGAACTTAAGCTCTAGAGCTGAAGTTTTTATTTTGTAACTTAAGCTCTAGAGCTGAAGTTTTTATTTTGTAACTGTAACTGGATAACTTCAGCTCTTGCACCTCTTCTTGAAAAGTTAAAGCTCTTGCACCTCTTCTTGAAAAGTTCGGATCAACTGTTGGAAAGAAGGCATATATCGTTGTCTCAGGACGCAATTTTTGCACTTGTGAAGATGCTGCTACAGCTTTGAAATGGCCATATACACAACAATTCATTATGGAAAATGCAGCTTTCATAAAATGGCTCACTCTGTTGTGATGTATGATCACCAAGAATGTTACACCATTTTTTACTACTTTACATCAAGCAGACTGTTACACAATTTTTCAGGAGTACACTCAATCATGTGAATACATGAGTAACCAAACAAACATCTAGAAAATGAAGTAGCAATCTTGCAAACAGAACCAACTAGCAGTTCTCTGGAGTAGCAGTGAATGAATCCAGGTCTGCCTTGCATCTCTCTCTGAGGTCATTAATCAAAGTAGTCATTAACAATGTTGAAGTCATCGTTGTAGAAGAAGAAAGAAGAAAACAAAGAAGGAGGAGAAAGGGGTTGAAATTGTTTAAAAAGTGGGTACAAATTAAAAGTTTTAAAAAAATGGGTATAGGTTAAATGGGAGCGACCATTTAACCTATACCCAATCAAGATGCCCAATGTCTACAATAATGGGCTAAAGCTAAATATTTTGAAAGGGGTTTTGGCATGGTATAACAACATACTCATATAATTGGCAGAAAATAGCCCTAGTTATAAATATTGGCATCAAATAACTGATAAATATATAATAATATGTATATCACAATTGTAACCCATGTATATCTCTATGTATATCAGTGATATGTCATGTATATTATGTGTATCTGAGTATATCCATAAAAAGTTGTGTTATATATATGATATACAATGTGATATACACGGGCGCCCATAAAAAAATTGTGTTGTATACATGATATACAAAGTAATATACACATACGTCCTTAAAAACCTATGTGTGATATACACTGATGTATATGATATACAACGTGATATACACATATCGTAATTAGATAATTAGGTCTGATTTTTTTACCTGAAACCAATCTAAATCACTTCTAATCTTGCTCAAATTTTGTATATAACCTCGTTTAGGTATTTTCAACTAATTTCAATCACACCCACTCATTCAATCCAAACAAAAAAAGGAAGAGAGAAGAAAAATAAAGTTGAAATATATTTTTTCTCTCTTAATTTTTGCTAATCTTGCTCAAATTTTGCATATAGCCTCGTTTAGGTATTTTCAACTAATTTCAATCACACCCACTCATTCAATCCAAACAAAAAAAGGAAGAGAGAAGAAAAATAAAGTTGAAATATATTTTTTCTCTCTTAATTTTTGCTAATCTTGCTCAAATTTTGCATATAGCCTCGTTTAGGTATTTTCAACCAATTTCAATCACACTCACTCATTCAATCTAACCAAAAAAAAGAGAAGAAAAATAAAGTTGAAATATATTTTTCCTTTCTTAATTTTTGCTTTTGATTTTTTCTGATGTGAGATCAACCTTATCTTTTCATCCCACTGAATTTTTTTGCATAATTTGCAAGAAGTTTTTCTAAACTATGAGAGAAAAAGAGAAGGGATAGAAGAAGAAATACAGGGAGAGAAAGGGGGAGGGAAACCAAAATAAGCGTGTAGATTTTTTTGAGAGAGAATATAAAAGAAAGTAGTTTTTTTAAAGATTTGGCTATATAATGCCAATTGTTTGGGGCTATCTTTGCCAAACCTAATATAAGGCTAAAAATTACCAATTTTGTTATGTGTTGTTATAGGATGCCAATTTGTAGCCATCAGGGAAAAACTAATGACAATAAGTAGCCACAAAATAAACCACACAATTTAAAACCTAAAACCAATTACAAGGGCTAGCCCAAAACCACAGCCATTCTTCCCCCTTCAAATTTCAAACTTTTCAACTCCGTAACCTACTTTAATCTATACCTTCCCCTTACTCTGCCACCTACTTAGAGAAATTCGAAGTAAATTGGCTATTTTTCTTGTTTTCATGTGAACTTTTTAGGTTAGAAAACACAAAATCATTTACTTAAGTAGTCGCAGACACAAAAATCTATAACTAGTGTGTAAGAAACTGAGATACCAATGGGTCAAAGACTTAGAAAAAGTAAGCAAATAATGTAAAGATACCCTCGTCATGATGATATTGCGATGCGGATCCACATTTTGCAAAGAAATAGAAGGAAATTAATCAATACAATTAGGTATGCAGCAAAATATACCATCAGGTCTAAGAATAGGGGAGTAATTAGTGTCATTTGATCCATCTCGGACTTCTTTAAGTAAAGACACGAAATTGCTGAAGTGAACCATTGTAAAAGTCCTCAGTTCAAAATAATTGTGTTAATACATATGTCCAATAGGGGTATGACGGCACGATCGGTCGTTTTGATAGTATTAGCCCCGACCCTCTATTTACTGCTTTACCCGTATCCTTTTCTATTTATACGACTTGTCGGGAGGTTTTGTTCGTGGTTTTCGGAGTATTTTGGGATACTTTGTCCATAAAACGGAAGCTTAAGATCTAGGATTTTGACCGTAGTTAGAACTGTGTGAAAATGACTCCGGAATGGAGTTTCATCGGTTCCGTTAGCTCCATTGGGTGATTTTAGACTTAGGAGCATGTAGGAATTGTGAATTGGAGGTCTGTAGCTGAATTAGGCTTGAAATAGTGAAAGTTAAATTTTGGGAAGTTTGACCGGAAGTGAACTTTTTGATATCAGGATCGGATTCTGATTCTGAAAGTTGGAGTAGGTCCCTAATGTCAATTATGACTTGTGCAAAATTTAAGGTCAATCGAACGTGATTTGATAGGTTTCGGCATCGGTTGTAGAAGTTTGAAGTTTCAAAGTTCATTAAGTTTGAATTGGAGGGTGATTCGTGTTTTTAGCGTTGTATGATGTGATTTGAGGGCTTGACTAAGTTCGTATGATAATTTAGGAATTGTTGGTATGTTTGGTTAAGGTCCCGAGGGCCTCGAGTGGATTTTGGGTAGTTAATGGACCAAATTGGGAGTTGGAAGAATTGCTGAAACACTGCTATTCTGGTGTCACCGCACCTACGGTGGGGTTGGCCGCAGATGTGGACTCGTAGGAGAGAGCGTGTAGCCGCATGTGAGAGGTTGGCTTGGCCTAGATGGGGGCACATGTGCGAAAAGGGAGCCGCATATGCACATCCACAGATATAGAGAAATGAACGCAGAATCAAAAAAGGGCAGCTTGGGGCAGGGTCGCAGAAGCGGAAGGCCATCCACAGAAGGGGGCCCACAGGTTCGAGCCCTGGTCTGCAGAAGCAAAATTCATGAATTTCAGTGGAATCCGCACCTGCGATGGAATTTTTGTAGGTGCGGCGTCGCAGGTGCGACTGGAAGCCCGCAAATGCGAAATCGCTGGGCATAAAAGGGCTAAGTTCGAGGGTTTTATCCCAGTTTCATTTTGGGACTTTGAGAGCCAGATTTGGGCGATTATTTGAAGGATTTTCAGAGAAAGATTTTGGGTAATAATTCTTAACTCATTTATGGTTATATTCCATTAATCTATAGTTGATTTCATCTGTTAATTAAGGAATTTGGGGAAAGAGTTGGAAAGTTCTTCAACTAAGTTTTTGAGTTTTGATTCAGATTTTGGCATCGGATTTGGATAATTTTGGTACGAGTGAACTCGTGATTGAATGAGTGTTCATATTTTTTGACTTTTACCCGATTTCGAGACATGGGTCCGAGTAAGTTTTGATTTCATTAATTAGATTAGTCTATAATAGTTTTATTTATGGTATGTAATTATTTTTGGCTAGATTTGGGCCATTCGGTCTCAGATAATCAAGGAAAGGGCATTCTTATTGACTGACTAAGTGTGGTTCGAGATAAGTGGCTTGCTTAACCTTGTGGGGGAGAATTCCCTTAGGATTTGATACTGTTCTGATATGCGAGGGTCGTGTATGCAAGGTGACGAGTGCGTACATGGGATAATTGTTGTAAAATCCAGTTTTTACTGAGTAGTAACCTGTTTTCATCTTAATTGAGTTATACCAACATGTGTAGTTATCCAGTTTAGTCTAATATCACATGCCTACGTGCTTTAACTGCTTATTTGAATCATGTGCAACATGCCTAGTTGATTTCATGTTTTTCCTTGATATGTATCGATTTTAATTGTAGAATTGTTGCTACTAATTGTTGTATTTATCGGTTTGAGCTGTGTGTTTACTTTTGGAACTACGAGGCGGTACCTCAGGAGATCCCCCTGCACCTTTACTTTTGAGACTACGAGGCAGTATCTCGTGAGATCTCCCTATACATTTAACTTTTGAGACTACGAGGCGGTACCTTGGGAGATCTCCTTGCATCTTTACTTTTGGGACTACGAGAAGGTATCTCGGGAGATCCCCTGCTGTTTTATCCCTGTGTGTTGTACTATTATTTTGTGGTGTTTTCCTCTTTATTAAATTTTAGTCTCTTATTATATTGATATATTTTTCTGCTTTATATATTATATACTAGTGGGCTTTGATCTGACCTCATCACTACTTGACCGAGGTTAGACTTGGCACTTACTAGGTATCGTTGTGGTGTACTCATGCTACTCTTTTGCACATGTTTTGTGTGTAGATCCAGGTACTTCTTATTAGCCACATTATCAGTGAGCAGTGATAGTTTGGAGACTTTAAGGTATATCTACCACGTCCGCAGATCACAAAATCCCCTTCTATTCTCTCCTATGTCATTTACCTTTCGTACTTCTTTTCTTAGACTTTGGTGTATAGAGATACTAATTTTCTTCTGCAGCTTGTGATTTATAATATTCCTGTTTTTGGGAATATTGTGTATTACTAGAGCGTTAGTTATTGTACATGTCGAGCGACATTGCTATCAGTTATTTAACTATCTGTTACAGTTAGTTGTTAAGTTTTGAGATGTATGTACTTATCTTCGAGAGACTATGAAACTCTTAGGAAAATTTCACTTCTTTTGACTCCTTGTCGTGCGAAATTGTTGACTTCGAAATTCTAAACTTGTCTTATATTCTCTCATAGACGGTGAGGACACGTATAAGCGGATCTGATGACCAGGCACCCGTGCCCCCTATTAGAGCCGCGAGATGCCGGAGACGGGGTAGAGGCCGATGATGTTCACGTGATGCAGCTAGAGTGATAGCATCATAGGAAGCTCAAATCGATTCAAGGACAAGGATGAAGCTTTGAAATCTCAAAGAGGGCCTTTAACAAGATCTCAAACTTAAAAGTTGCAAAACAAGGTCATTGGACTTCAGGAACGATCAAAGAAGTTGTTGGTTGGGAGAAAGAGCTTAAGGATAAAGGATATGAGTTATCTAGGTGTTATAATTCTTTTATGGCCCAAATTCATGTCGAAGAAGAGGTGGATTAGATCCCAAGAAACATCTTGTGAAGAAGGTCCAAATCAGGCCACTATTGGGCCAATTTGGCACCTAAAATGTGTCCAAACTTGTAGCCCATGAAGTCCTACATAAAGCCACATTTTTATAGCATAAAAAGGACTTACTTGATGTTCAATAATGATACAATAGTCGTGCTAGATGTTGAGTGCAAGTTGGTGCCAAGTTATTTGCAAATTTCCTTCAAGACTTCCAAGATTCGGTCCAAGATTTGTTTGAGACTTATTTCCATATATTATGGGACTATGTTTATTGCTTTCCTAGTTAGTTAAGTTATGTTTTTCTTTTACTAAGATTTTTGGAATTACTTTCCAAGAATAACTTGGTTTTTGCTTCCTAGTATTTTTCTTTTCTTAAGGTAGTTGGACTTGTTGTCCAAAGCAGTTTAGGACTTTATTTACTTATTTTTTAGGTAGAATTTCGTGACCCCTCTCTATATAAAGGGGTGTATTCTTTGTTTTTAGATAGATTATTCAGATTATTATCAACAAAAATTGTTAGATTTTTCTTGCACTCTTGTGTGTGGCTACTCTTGGATTTATTCTTCAACCTTTAAGACTCAACTTAAGGTGGTAAGATTAAACTCTTTCGAAATCTTAGATCACTTCTAGGTATTCAAGAAAGGTGATAAGTTTAGGCTTATTGTTGTTCTTGTTATTCTAAAAGGTTGGGTTTCACAATCTATCTCTTATTTTTAATTCTCTATCAAATGCGATTAGTTCTTTGTTAGCTAATTGTTGTTGTTAGGATTCAATTTCAAGAATAGACTTCTTGAATTTAACCCTTTCTTGAATTCAATCTATCTTTAATTTTCCGTCCTTTTTTGTTTCTTTATTTTCTTTTAGCTTCCGCATGTTTCTTGATTTTCTTATTTTTCTTTAGTAATTCTTGAATCCTTTATCGTGTTGTTATCATAGAGCACACGCATGAGCTGTTACAGAGGAGCCACTAGTAGCTCTAGTCGGAGCGTAGGCACCTGAGATGCCTATTACTGCACCAGCTCTTAAGGAGACCCTTGCATAGTTCCTGAGCATGTTCAGCACCTTGGCTCAGGCTGGATTGATTCCACTTGCTCCTGCCACGTCTCAGGCCGGGGGACAGGGGAGGATTTACATGGACCCATATATATATATATATATATATATATATAATAAATAAAATAAAAATATAAGGTAAAAAGAATAAAGGTGACACCACTTGCAACAAAGCAGCTTAGTAGTCTGATGGTTATTACCTCCCGAAATTGTTTGAGAGGCCAGGGGTTTGAACCCCCTTAGCTTCAGCGAAATTCCTTTTGACTCTTTGACTTTGTCAATTAATTTAAAACCCTATGTTGATGCTAAAATCATGGACTTTTTCAACGTGGGCTGCTATTGACCCAACCCTTATTTTAGAATAAAAAGAATTTTGACTTGCCCCTTTTCAAACTCCAAAGAAGAGTGAAAGTAAATTCCTCCAGGTTAGTATTAAATCTCTCCCTCTCTGCCGATGATTATTTTTTGTTAAGTGATTTTCCTTTTTCCTTTTTATTGTTTATGAACAAAATTATGAATATGTGTTAATTTTGAATTTATGATTAAGGGTGTGTTTACTGATTTTGGAGGTTAATGAAATTGTGGGTTATTGCCTTATTGAAGACGAACAATTTTATAGTTACAATAAACTTATTTAAGGTTTATCTAAAGATTAATGTGGGTACTTAAATTTTTTATTTAGATTAGATTGCAATGAAGAGATACTTTCCTACAACTCCCAAAATTCCAAAATCAAGTTCAACATCTCAAGATTTATTTAACTTGGAAGAAAGAGCAAGTGAGTTGGAACAAGATCAACAAAGCGAAAGAGCTAATTTAAGATCTTTAGAGGTTGATCCTGGGGAAAGATTAGCAATTCAAAAATATCACCCAAATGACCATGATGCAATAAGAAGAAAGTATATTCAAAAAGGTCTTTTCCAACCTCGAGAGCACAAATTTCCTCAAAGAAATTTTTATGGTAAATTGCGTCGCTTTAATCCTCAATGGTTTGATGAGTATGATTGGTTGGAATATAGCATAACAAAAGATGCAGCTTTTTGCTTATATTGTTATTTGTTTCAAGATGATTGCATCAATCAAGGGGAAGGAGATGTATTTTCAACTATAAGATTTACAAGTTGGAATTAGAAGGACATATTTGATACGCATATTGGTAGACCAAATAGTATTCATAATCAGTCAAGAAAGAAAGGTGATGATTTGATGAGACAAAAACAATCTATTCAAAGTGTACTCGCGAAACAATCTGATCAACAAAGGTTAGAATACAAGATTGGTTTAGAGGCTGCAATTGATGTGATAAGATATCTTTTGTACCAAGGATTATTATTTCGGGGGCATCGTAAAAATGAATCATATTTTAATAGAGGTAACTATATTGAACTTCTTAGATGGTATATTAAAAGATGTGATCATGTTGCTGAAGCATTTAAAAGAGCTCCAAAGAATAATCAATTTACTTCTCCCATACATTCAAAAGGATATTATTATTGCATGTAAGATAAAAATAATTAAGTGTATCATTGAGGATTTAAATAGTGATCACTTTTCCATATTAGTTGATGAATCTCGTGATGTATCATGTAAGGAGAAAATGGTTATTGTTTTGTGGTATGTTGATAGAAGGGGAAGTGTGATGGTGCGATTTATTGGTATTGTTCATGTTTGTGAAACTACTGCTTTGTCTCTAAAGAATGAAATTGTTGGTTTACTTTCTCAATACTCTTTAAGTCCATCTTCCATACATGGACAATATTATAATGGAGCAAGTAATATGTAGGGTGACTTAAATGGGCTTAAAATCTTAATGCAAAAAAGAAAATAGAGGTGCTCATTCTATTCATTGTTTTGCTCATCAACTGCAACTAATTCTTGTTGCAGTTTCTAGAAAATGTGATGACGTGCAAGAACCTTTATTAGTGGTTTCTGATATATTAAATATGGTGGGATCTTCTTTCAAACATAGAGATAAACTTCGTGAATCCCAAGCCGATGAAATTGAAGAAGCATTACGTAAAGGTGAGCTTGAAACTGGGAGGGGTTTAAATCAAGAATTAGGTCTTGCTAGGGCTGGTGATACTCGATGGGGATCTCACTACAAATCTTTTAATAATTTTATTCTTATGTTTGGCCCTATCACTGATGTACTTGATGCTATTGTTGTTAATGCACGTTTTGAAGAAAAGTGTAAGGCAAAGGGATGCCTTAAAGTATGTTTAACATTTGAGATTGCCTTCATGTTGCATTTTATGCATACTGTTTTAGCAATTACAAATGAGCTTAATGTTGCCTTTCAAAAGAAGAGCAAGATATTGCAAATGTTGTGATACATGTTAGAGTGACAAAGGATCGGTTGCAACAACTGAGAGAGGACGGTTGGGCTCCACTTATTGATGAAGTATCTAAGTTTTGTATCAAATATGACATATTGATACCTAACTTTGATGAGCCTTATATTATCCTTGGAAGATCACATCGTAGAGTTGCAGAGTACTCTATTTTACATCACTATCGTGTTGTAGTGTTTTGTAAAACTATTGATTGGCAATTTCAAGAACTCAATAGTCGCTTTGATGAGGTGACAACTGAATTACTTCTTTGAGTTGCTTGCTTGAACCCGATTAACTCTTTTTCAAGTTTTGACATTGAAAAGATATTGAGATTGACTGAGCTATATCCTGATGATTTTGATAAATATTCTATAGTTGACCTTCGTTTTCAGCTTGAGAATTACATTGTTGATGTTCGGGATCATGACAAAAGGTTTTCTGATCTTAAGGGACTTGGTGATCTTTCCAAGAAATTAGTAGAAACAAAGAAGCATGGGACTTATCCTCTTGTGTTTCGACTAGTGAAATTTGCTTTAATTTTGCCAGTTGCTATAGCTACGGTTGAAAGAGCTTTCTCAACAATGAAGTTGATAAAGACTGACTTACGAAATCGAATGGATGATGAGCTTTTGAGTGGTTGTTTGGTGCCTTATATAGAAAAAGATGTATTTTGTAATGTTTCTAATGAGGCTATTATGAATACATTTCAAAACATGAAAACTCGTCGAGGAGAATTGTAGTGATGTACTTGAATTATGTTTTATTAATATTATTTAAGTTGTCTTTTTATAATATGATATATATTATAAATTATTTACTCGTTCGTTTACTCTTTAAATAGTGACACCACTTATGAAAATCATGCGTACACCACTGCCGGGGGAGGAGCACAGACTCCTATCGCCCGTACCCCAGATCAGCGGGTTCAGGTCGACTAGGTTCCAAAGACCATACCGATGCAGGAAATAGCTAGTAGCTCTAGTTCGGCCCGAGGGTAGTGTAGCAGCTTCTGAGGAGGAGGAGCTTAGGCTCGAGAGGTACAAGAAGTATCACCCTCCTAGTTAAAGTGGATTAGCGTCAGAGGATGCCCACGATTTTCTTGAGGAGTGCCATAGTATCCTCCGTACTATGGGTGTAGCGGAGTTGAGTGTAGTTTCTTTCACTGCGTTCTAGCTTAGAGGAGCGACCTATCAGTGGTGGCGTGCTTATGAGTTGGGTAGTCCGACTGAGGCAACTTTACTTACTTGGAATCAGTTCTCAGATATTTCTTGAGGGAGTATGTTCCCTAGAGTCTCAGAGATGCATGGCGTGCCGAGTTTGAGCAATTACATTAGGGTGCTATGACTGTATCAAAGTGTGCAGTTCGCTTCAGTGATTTGGCTAGGCATGCTCCAGCCTTGGTTGCTACAGTTCGAGAGAGGGTCCGTCGGTTTATCGAGGGGCTCTACCCCAGCATTAGGATTAACATGGACCGGGAGTTGGAGATGGATATTTACTACCAACAAGTTGTGGATATTGCTAGGAGAGTGGAGGGCATGCTTGCTCGGGAGAGGGGAGAGAGAGGCCAAGAGGTCTCGAGATTCTAGCACTTATAGTGGTACTCGTGTCCCAGGTGCAGTTTGTCATAGTAGGGGCTATGTGAGTCACCATGTTCATTCAGCACTTCCAGCCACCAGTGGTATTCCAGCTACTCCGAGGCCCAGGAGCCTTATTATGCACCGCCAGTGTTTAGTGTACCTCCCGCACGGGGTGCTTTCAGTAGTCAGTCCAGCCGACCTGGCCCCAGCCAGTCACTGTAGCCACGCCCTCCGAGAGCTTGTTTTGAGTGTAGCAGCACTCACCACATAGTGAGGGATTGCCCCAGACTATGGCTGTCCAACGGGATGGGCCATCCCGTCCTGTCCCGCTTCAAATTAAACGGGATGGGCCAATGTTAAACGAGACACGGGATGGGACAGGACGGCCATTTCATCCCGTTTGTCCCGTCCCGCATCCCGCCAGTTTTTTTTTATAAAAAAACTAGATGTTGGGCAACGACTTAAATTGCAAAAATAGATGTTGCCAACGGTCCAAACAGTCCCCCCCCCGAAACACCCCTACCACTTCCAAACTTTTAATATAACCCCTTAGTTTATTAAATTACACTTTGTCCCTAATTTCTACTATACATACCCCCATTCTTCTTCATTTTTTTCCCACAAAAAATCAATCTTCTCTCTCAAATCTCTTACATTCTAATATTCTATCTATATTATTCTCTCAATTTTATTACTATCAAGTATCAAGTGATAACTTTCAAGTATTTGGACAAATGTTTTGGAGCAACTTTCAAGTTTCAATTTAATTTGTCAAGTATTTGGAGCAATATTTTGGGCAATTTCTTCAAGTTTCAATATTTAATCACGGTCCACTGGTTCCATCTCCTAATTTTAATATATAATTTTTGCGTATCATTTTAGTGCTTAATTTTTGTGGTTACTTTACGTGTTATATTTTCGTATTTCATTTGTGTGTTTAATTTTTGTGTTAGCTTTTTTAATTTAATTTCGTATTTAAATTATGGCACCTAAAAATGTATTTGGCATTTTAAAAAAAAGTAGTAAAAAAGATAGTAAAGGTGAAAGTAGTAGTAATCCTAATCCTAACCCTTCTCCTAGACCTAGAATTAGAAAACATATTGATGAAATGACTCATGTTGATGAAACTTCATTTTTCCAATCCCCCAAATTTTATGATGTTCATGTCGGAGAACAATTAGATCATGAAACTTTACAAAGACAATTTGGCAATGATATTTTTTTTTGAGGACGAAGAAAATGAGGATGAAGAAAATGAGGAAGAAGAATTAGATGAAACACCCACTAGTCCCGCAACACAAGCTCCAACTCAGAGTCAATCTCAGTCTCGAGCTTTACCCCCTGTACCCCCTATAAGGGGTAAGCCTAAGGCTGAACGTCCCAAAACATCACTTGTATGGAAATTTTTTAAACATGATAAAGTCAATCATCGTGCTATATGTGAAAAATGTAAGCAACAATTTGCACACACAATAAGTGGTGGGACAGGGGGTTTAACTAGACACTTAAGACGGGATCACAAATCTTTATGGATACAAGCTAACATAGAAGCCGGAAAAATTATAGATCCTACCATCAGTACTGACACTCCTAGTGGATCTGGTTCTAATCAAATTCAACAACAACTTGACCCTGCTTCTGGTCATGTTTTACGCAAATATAACAAAGATAGAGATCGTGAGAACTTAGCAAAATGGTGGCTGTCTGTGGCTTACCTTTTACTTTCCCTTCTCACCCTGCTTTTGTGCATTATATACAAGAAACTTATAACCCTGCTTTTCAAGGTTTTCCTAAGACCACGGTTAGAAATGATGTTTTTAAATTTCAAATCGAATATCTTTAACATATTCGTTGTGTATTTTTTCTCTTAGATTGTAAAGTATCTATCACATCTGATATAGGTCATAGTCCTAATGGTTGTGATTATTTAACTGTTACATGTCATTGGGCTGATCATCACTGGAACTTGCAAAAATGTATTATTGGTTATAAATTTGTTGATTCAAAATACACTAGAGCATATATTGCAACTACTGTTCTACAAATACTTATTTTTTATGGACTCATTAATAAAGTTTTAACTATCACCTTAGATAATGCTTCTGCTAATACAACCGCAACAAATAGCTTAAAATCTAGACTTTGTCCAATTAATCTAACAATTTTTCATGTTAGATGTGCATGCCATATTTTAACTTGGTTGTAAAAGATGGTCTTAATTTATTTTCTGATGCTTGTAGTAAAATACAACATGCTTGTGGCTATATTTTTCGTACTCATAAACAAAGTAGAATTCGTGAATTTGCTCAACAATGTGCTAGTGCTAACCTTCCATTTAGAAAAGTTCCAAAAGATGTTTGTACTAGGTGGAATTCTACTTATGAAATGCTTAAAGTTGCTTATGATTATCGAGTGCCTATCCAAAAGGTATTTAATATGCATAATTCTTACCCTGTTGATCAAATTGTTGATTCTGATTGTGATGAGATCAAAGAGCTTACTAAATTTTTAGAAAATTTTTATTATGCTACAAAACAATTTTCTAGTATATATTATCCTATTGTTACACAAATATTATGGTATATTTGTGGAATTTCTGTTGTATTTGATAAGTATAAAACAAATCCCACTTATGCATCGGCCATTAATGAAATAATTTTAAAATTTAAAAAGTATTTTTTCCCTATTCCCGAAGTTTATTTAATTTCTACTATACGTAACCCATCTTTAAAACTAAGTGGTGCAAAGGGACTTGTTCGTAAAATTTGTGAGAATTTAAAAATTCAAGAAAATGAACAACCATCTCTCGAAGACTGCCAAGCTAGCATATATTCTTATGCTAGATCAATGTTTGATAAATATAAATCTATGGATACAACTGGTTGTGAAACTACTCCTTCTACTTCTTGGTCTAGAGCAAAAGTTTTATGGGAAGATATGGATGATATAACAGGTTTGATTCTTCTATTGATGATAAACTTGATTCTTATCTTAATCAAGGATTGGAAAATATTAAAGACGAAGAAGGCAAGGAACAACTTTTGTCATGGTGGAGGGAGCGTGGCACGACTTTTCCAACACTTTAAATTATGGCCCGAGATATCCTGGCTATTCAAGCATCATCAGTAGTATCAGAGAGTGCTTTTAGTGCGGCAAGATTTCAAATTGGAGATCATAGACATGCATTAGCGGAGGACAGTCTAGAGATTTCCGTATTATTCAGAGATTGGATTAATTCAGAAAGAAGAAATCTTGGTTTTGAAAAATTAACCACTAGGGAAGAAGAAGAATACAATGAGATACTAACCACTGGGAGCGATGACGGCATGGAGCTCATGGAACATCAATCAACATTGCCAATTCCAGCAGAATGTCCGAGAGATATTATTGATAAGTTACAAAGAAGCTATATANAAGATTTCAAATTGGAGATCATAGACATTCATTAGCGGAGGACAGTCTAGAGATTTCCGTATTATTCAGAGATTGGATTAATTCAGAAAGAAGAAATCTTGGTTTTGAAAAATTAACCACTAGGGAAGAAGAATACAATGAGATACTTACCACTAGGAGCGATGACGACATGGAGCTCATGGAACATCAATCAACATTGCCAATTCCAGTAGAATGTTCGAGAGATATTATTAATAAGTTACAAAGAAGCTATATAGGAGCTTACGAATATTAGTATGATAATTTATAATAGGCTACTAAGAGGCCTAGTTCAAACAGAACCCTTCCTAGAAGGTGGTTGCATAGATTAGGTGCTCTTCAAAAGAATTATCTTTGTATTTGAGATTTGAAAGTTCTATTAATAAAATATAAGGCTCGAAGCATTGAAGTTTTTTTTTATGAATTGTCTTAGTAACTTAATAGTTAATACTTTGAAATTATATTAAATAAATTATAACTATATTATAAATTTATAATTAGTAGAATATTTCAATACAAGTCTTTTGTTTTAATATGTTATAATCTTTACTTAGTTTTTTAATTTTTATTTTAACATAGTAACATTTAAGTTTATTAAATAAGTCAAAAATCTAGCCGTTGCAAACCTTAAAAACATAGTAATTTTAAAAAAACTAGACATTTTTAAAAAAAATACACTTAAAGCCCACAAACCCGTCCCGTTCCATCCCGTCCCATCCTGTTTGTTAGCG